GCTTACTGCATTGCAAGGACTCTAAGCTTGGCTCCCTCTTAACACCTCCCTCCAGTCTAATTGGAGATTCCACCACATCTGTGTTTTATAAACCATAGTTTATCACTTAGCCCAGTGGTTCTCAACCTTTTTAATGCCGCGACCCCAACCGGTCGTAAGTCGAGGACTAAACCGGTCGTAAGTCGACTAAACCGGTCGTAAGTCGAGGACTAAACCGGTTGTACGTCGAGGACTTTCCCTGCCCGGGAGTGCCGCGCATGCGTGGTTCCGCCCCCTGCGCCGGCCGAGGCGTAGCTGGCAAGCGGCAGAGACGGAGCAGGCCGACCACCAGCTGGCCCAGCCCAAGGGAGGTAAGGCACCTGCTGGAAAAGGGGGAAAATGGCGGACAAAAAGAATGGCGGACAGCCTTGCTTGGCGACCCCTGTGAAATGGTCGATCGACCCCAAATGGGGTCTCGACCCACAGGTTGAGAACCACTGACTTAGCCTGTTGCGTCAACACAACAACTATGTTGTATTCAACAACGATCAGTAAGTAAATCACTGGTTAATGCAAGGGTTCTGAAACTAGGGTTCACAAGCATATTGGGGTGGATCACCACTTTTTAATGTATTTAATGAATTAGTGTTTTTAATACGACTAAAATGGCCAAATCACTCATTTCAGCAGAGAATAACAACTGATGCCTACTGATATTGTTGATGTTTCTAACATTTCATTTTAGAGTCCAATGGTTTTGCAGCACATCCACTGTTCTTATAGTGATGTTGTCCATGCTTGATGTATTGAGAAGCATTATTTTTTTCAGCCAGCTTGTCACAGAAACCAGTCCTGATTTGGGCTGAGAGTAAATGACTTGTCCAGGTTGAACCAGCTGGCTTCCATGCTTGACAGAGGACTAGAACGTAGATTTCCCCACTCCTAGTCCAGGACCTTCACTACTACTACCTCACTGGCTCATACCTATTGCTACTATGTCAAACAGTTATTGATAACGACAATCCATTGTCACTGATTATAGCTAGTGGGACATGGCTTTCTTCAGGATTAATTATGCACAACTAGAATCTCTTTTGGGTTGACATAACAATTTTTTTTGGCCTGTCTATAGAATGGCGTATGTCAGTGAAGGTCGGTTGTTATCTTTTTTATTTGATAAAATCGTATGGTTCCATTGCTGTTTTCTTTAATATAAAGATTGAAATTTAATTTTAAAGATAAGTAATATTTTTTTTTTGCTCCACGATAATGACTGAAATCATTAGTTTTCATTTGGAGGTGTCCATGTACAAACCCCTCTATTATTTTAGGAATCAAGGAATTGGAAAGTTTAATGAGTCCTGACAATTTAACAAATGAATACAATCTTTACAGTATCTAGTTGAGTGGACAATGCTTACTTCTGCTTCAAACAAAATGAATGGGATCCTTGCAGCAGAAACTGATGAGGAGAGGAAGAAACCAGCACTCCTCAACTCGGCAGCAGACCATTCCTCGAAGCATCCCCAGGGTTGTACTTAAGTTTTAAAATATAGCCTCCACTGTTGCCCCAGTGCCTTGATGCTATTAAAAAATATTTTTTTTTTAGTTTAATTGCATAGAGACACTGGTGTGTACATGCACATTTCCCCTAGTTTTCATTGTGGACCTTCCTCCTTGCTGGTAAAGCACTTGTCCAGAGGCAATTAGGCCCTTGAACAGAAAGAAATTTCCTTGTCTTGACATGAAACAAAATGGCATCTGCCCTCCTATAACATGCCCTTCCGCTTCAGAGCATGTCAATAGAGGTATCTTTGTTCCACAGCAATCTACAGAGTTGAACTGGTGATGTCTTTATGGGAAGGACACATTTCTTCTTCTTTTACTTGTCCCCATACACCTAAAGATTTTTAATCTAGAGCTTTAGTGAGCGTATTGGTCTCCTGGTACCATTGCCTGATCGAATGCAACGCTGGCTAATAATTCCCACAAGCGTATGCAGATAAAGATGGCTATGGAATAGCCTTTCCACCTGCAGCACCACCTGGAGACACTGGCTGGGAATTCTGAAAGTTGCAGGCTGACTCTGCCTGGAGTTCACCAGATGAGGAAGACTGACCCAGAAACTTTATGGACAGATTTAAGCAATAACATCAGTATAAAAGTGACCAGTGATGAAATATTGGATGTTTGGTCATTATTTATTGATTGATTGTTAGTAGAAAATCGGAAATCAGCAGTCTGCTGAGCAAGCGTATGCTGAAACACAAACTGCCTGATTTCTGGTTGTCTTCAGGTAAGATGTTTGTCAGATGAAGGCTCATGCAATTCATATGTCGCTGTAGGGGATGAAAAAAGTCAAAACATTTACATAGTACAAAACAGCTCAACAACCGTTTCATGGTAGCATTGCTTAAGGAGCAAATTCACAAAAACTGTTTTTTTAAAATAATGTTTAGAAGATACCAGATTTGCTTAAAATATTGTCCATTTGGCAAATTAGTTACAATAAACAGCTACAACTTTTCTCTTTTATTCAGACTGAATTTCAGGAAGCGGACTTAATCTCCAAAATATGCTTCCACTAAGAATTTACTTGGCACAAGATGGCAAGTATTTCTACTAATCCTAATATATTCCCTTGATTTTGTACAGAGGTCATGGTATTGTACATCTGGAAGTACAGTTGTAATTGTGACTGTGCAGTGTCTTGGCAACATATGTATGTGTCTTTGTTTTCAGCATCTGTCATCCCCTATCCTTCTAGCAAGTTTTAACTAGCAAATATGATTTCTTTTATGAACATGCAAAATATTATGAACAGAAATTTCTTTGTGTGAGCCTGTTGAGACAAGAGAATGATATGCAGACTAAGACTCAATAGAGGCTGACATAGTTGCAAATCATTTCAACCCACCAAATGATTATTTGGAAACATTATCTAATGCAGATTTCTCTATACACTCTAGATGTGTTTTAGAACAAATTCTCTCATCCATCATGTTAGCCATAGGGGATGAGAGTCACAATAAAACACATTTGGAAGATGCCTTGTTGAAAAAGGAGGGATTTAGGAAGTTTTGACATCTTTGGAAAACAACTACTACAAACATATTTTCTCAAGATGCCTCCTTTTTATTTATTATTTATTAGGTGTACTTCCAAACTGCTTCCTGTTATTAAAAAAATAGTCGTGTAGAGACAATTGCACCTGGAGTGCCATATAACCTCAGCAAAATAATACAGCAAATATACAAACAAAACCGTAGCAGCTTTCTTCTTTATATAGAACGATTAAAACCAGAATAATGAAAATGTTCTTAGATCTGATTGCCATGGCAACCCATTCAGCTTAATTATAATTCAACAGGATTGGGAATAAGCTCTAAAAGAATCTAAAGTGTATAATTCACCAATGCGTTGAGGTTTTCAAGTATTCTTCCATTTTTGTCATAAATGGCATTAATTGGCTCTATAATATTTGGGTAGACAAAATAAATTAGAACACATTGAACTGACAACTGATTTTATTGACCTTTTTGATCAGTATTCTCTCTCAAGAAGCTACCGCCAGTATGAGTAACTTGGTTATTTGTCTTGATTAGACTATTTTGGAACAGGAATATATGTAGTCTTCAAGAATTCTTGAAACACTACACTTAGGAGGCCTAGGTAGCATAGCCAATGTGAGAAATACAAGGAGTTACAGCTATTGAACAGCAACATCTGGAAGATCAGCAGTTCTGGCAGGCCTCTGACAAGAAAAAGTGAGACCCCTCACTTTATCATGCTTGCAATTTTTTATCTTTATTTTTTATGTTTTATTTGCTTATAATGTCTTTGTTTGATAGTTGAGAACTACCCAGAGTCATGAGAGTTAAGTGGCATACAAATTATAGTAATTATAATTAATAATCTTCCAATGTGATTCATTATCACCTTAGTAGTTGTCATTGTCATGATACCATTTTCAGCGATTTTGAATAAAACAAATCTTGGTTATCAAACAGCAACCATGCTAATAAAATCTCACATTTGGTTTAATCTGAAGATTTATAAAAAATTAAAAATTGAATTCCAGGAATTGACAAACACTAAGAATTTTACTACTGATATAGTAATGGAGTTTGGCCTAGAAGACACCAGAAATAACTGGTTAAAAAGAAGAAAGTGTGAATAATCAATGTGGCAATACTGGAGATAACAGAATAGAAGACAAAGACAAAGAATTGGAGATGATCACAAAATATCAAGATCTGAAAATTGAAAGATTATGGCATAAACCAGTCATGGTCTATTGGCACAGTGGGTGCCATGCCAAAAACTCTTGAATGGCACTTAGAAAATATGCACATTGACAAAAATTCCACCTGTCAATTACAAAAGGCCAATTACTGCTTTGATCCCAGTAGGGATGTTTACAGGGATGGATGTCAACAGTGTCAAAATGGCAGCTACAATCAGGTGACTGAACCTTGCCCTTTTTATTTAAGCAAAATACAAAAAAAGTGCAGGCTTTGATCATTTAGACATGTTTGCTGTTTGGATAGTGTTAATGTTCCTTCTACAGACACCTTTGATCCCAGCTGTACTCTTAGTTCTGACAGCCAAGCCCTTCACCATATATTCTGGTGTGCGCTGATGCTTGTTTGATTTGCCATTGCTAGACTCTTTATTTCCACAAGCCCACTTTCCAATCATGAGAGCAGTCAGTCTTGAGAGCAAACCAGAAAGCTCTTGCAGAAATCGGTTTAGCTCTCTAATTCTTTAACTCTTGTTGCTAGGTAAGGACAATTTCCTTTTACCAAGTTTCTGTTTAGTTTTGGGACATCCAATGCTGATTTTGATGTTTAAGCATTTGCTATGTGAGTTGCATCTCAGTCTTAAATTCTATCATTTATTTGTTTATTACTTACTTGTTTGCTTTTGCCGTTGACAAGGTGCCTGCATGATGGATAAAGGGAAGAGAAGCAATGAGTGAAATGAAGAAACATGCCTCATTGTAATACAAACTCTGCCCCTTATGCACCTCTGAGTATGAAGGAGCAGAGCCTGCACTGTGATGTTGCAATACACGTTCTACCATTAGGGCAGTGGTTCTCAACCTGTGGGTCGGGACCCCATTTGGGGTCGATCGACCATTTCACGGGGGTCGCCAAGCAAGGCTGTCCGCCATTTTTTTCCCCTTTTCCGGCGGGTGCCTTACCTCCCTTGGGCTGGGCCAGCTGGTGGTCGGCCTGCTCCGTCTCTGCCGCTTGCCAGCTACGCCTCGGCCAGCGCAGGGGGCGGAACCACGCATGCGCGGTACTGCCGGGCAGGGAAAGTCCTCGACTTACGACCGGTTGGGTAGTCCTCGACTTACGACCGGTTTAGTCCTCGACTTACGACCGGTTTAGTCCTCGACTTACGACCGGTTGGGGTCGCGGCATTAAAAAGGTTGAGAGCCACTGCATTAGGGCATCACTGTGGTTAGATGCCCAGAGCTGCTGAAGGCCAATAGTGGCAATTATATAAAAATAATAATCTAATATTACTTACCCAAACCGGAATGTTCACTACTGTATTTTGCCAGGCCATTATCCTGTTCCTCAGCTCTCTTTCCTTTTTCAACCTGAACTGACAGAATCTTTCTACATCATCCTCGTTGATGCTGCGAGTAAGGCTGCTGCTGCTGCTGCTGCTGCTGCCCAAGACTCTACCCCGAATCAGCATGATTGCCTTGGGATCCGTTTCATCCATGTTGAGGCAGAGGCAGGAGGAGTGACTTACCTTCAGTGAATCACCCCACATTTTCTCACACATGTCAGTTCCATTGGCATACATCTAGAATTCATAAATGGTCTGGTTTATAGTATCATTTGCCATCAGAACCACACTGTCCTCCTTATTTTGATCTTTACATCTAGGCTATTATGAAAAAGTAAGGCAGGATGTGGCCCAGTTCAGTTGGGATAGTGGATTGGGAAACTAGTTTATTCACTCATTCAGGACCCAAAGCATAAACCATATCAGAAATTTCCTAATTGCTTTACTATGTGGCTAAAAGGATTGGAGATGAAAAGAAACAATTCTTACCCAATCCTTTGTTTAGAATTTTAGCCTCTCTTCTTTTTAGCTTTATAAACAGAGCTTTATTTTATAATCATACCAAGGATTTTGTCCATTTAATCCAATATTTTCATTTGATTAGTATTTTTTTTTCTGACATATGTGTGGGCAACCTTTGATAGCCAGGAATTGCACAGTTTAAGTTCATACTATAATATTCATCCATTTTTAGTTTCAAAATTGGGAAACAATGGCGCTTATATTAGTGAATTCATCTTCGTTGCTGTTGCTGCTGCTGTTGGAGGATCTGTCCTGAGTGAAGTTGATTGCCTTGGAATCTACTACATCCTTCTCTAGACAGAAACAGGACGAGTGACTTACTTTCAGTGAATCACCCCACATGTTCTCAGGAAGATGGCTTGGGAGCTGTGTGTGGCACTGGGGCTTCATTATGTTTTCATTTGTTCTAAAATCTCTAGCAAACATTTTCCTATTTTTCCTTTTATCTAGAGATGCATGAATTCTATCACTGAACTGGCCAACACATGCATTTCTAGATCAGCCTTCCTTCCCATAACAGACATCTTCCAGATTTCTAGCTGGAGTGTTAACGATATCTCAAAATATAGTAATGCATTGCTTTTTAAACTAGTGTGATAAAATGGTACCTCGGTATTCATCATTGACTGGTTCCAGGACGTACGATGAATACCAAAAACAGTGAGTACCAAACAAATTTTTCCCATAAGGAATAATGGAGTGAGTCACTGATGAGTTCTAGTTTGTGCACTGAGTACCAAATAAAGCATGAGTACCGGGACAAAATTTTCATGTCAAAATGCGTTGAGTATCAAATTTAGTGAGTTTCAAAGCAGTTGAGTACTAAGGTGTCACTGTAATTTCTATGCTGTATGTGCAAAATGACAGAAGATGCCCTTTGTACAATAGCAATATATTTTTTTGTTTGGAAAACATTCATTTCAGATTAACCTAATTTAAAATAAATATTGGTATATTATCTTACCTTAATATCCTCTTACTGAGTTTAAATTTTGGAAGCCAGACTTCAAAATTATGCACTTAGTCTGCATTTTAACTTAAATGGCATTATTGGTATATTATTTAAAAGAATGATTGGTAGCATGCATTAGCAATACTAAAATATTTTAGAATTTAAGAGAGGGTGAATATATGAGTTTCCTCTTGTTAAATTACATTAATTTGTTAGATGAGAGGGCTAGTCACAAGTCACTTTTTTCAGGGCAGTTTAACTTCAAACAGTAGCTAAATGAATGTTTTTAAGCTGAGGACTACTTGTATAGAAAGCCATGCAACATTTTAACATTAGGGTACTATGTATGCCTCAGAAGTAGCTTACTGTACAATACATTACCTCACTGATTGGGATGCATTCATTCTTACAGTGATTTTCTCCTTTTTCATCAATTTCCCAATCAGTCAACCAATTGCTGACACAAGTTTGATCACTTTCACAAGCTTCATACCTATAAGAGAAGACACAAAAGTAGAGGCCTTATCTGTGTTTTTACCACCTCACCCCATAATGCAACATAGAAGAATGTATTTTATTGACTAATTTTTTTTAAAAAAAAATCAAGTCAATGCTCCTTCGGGATATGATTGGATATTATTTATAAATGTACAGGGCAGTTTAAAACAAGGACATTTTCTGGACAAGGTAAAAAAAATAATATACCTAAACCAGGGGTAGGCAACTAGAGCCAAGGTTGCCTACCCCTGACCTAAACCATGTGGCTTGTTACAATGACAGAATGTATGTTAATAAAAACCTGTAACTTTCCTAGGTGATAGCTATTAGACTAATAAGTAGGGAAGAATAATATTGTACTTAATGACTAGTAGTATGGTCAAATCCAAGTTTCCAAAGAGTGCTATTTTCTCCTCATCATTACAATGTCAACCTAGCGATGAAAATATTCTAGCACCACTCTGGAGTTTATAGAGTGCACCTCATTGTTTCCATTTCTTATTCCTCAAAGTCTTCGGTGGTTTTGACCCTATAATTGTCTTCACTTCTGCAGATGAGACTGCAGAAAATTGATAGGGAAGATTAAAAAAGATCACTCTGTTAGTGTCATGCTCTAAAGTACTACAGGTCTTGAAATAACACTTTGCAGCAACACTTCTTTGAAAGTTTTCCACAGCTTCACTACCTCTATGTGGAGTTCCACAGCTTCACTACCTCTATGTTTGTGTGGAGATTCTGAATGAATCCAGGAGGCTATGTTTTTGTGTTAAGAACCTATAAACATAAAGTAGCATCACCTGAAAATTTAAGATTCAGTTAAAAAAACATGCCATTCCCAAAATCTTCAACATCTCCAGTTAAATTTTTAATTTTATTTTTTGAATATCAGACTTTTGCTAACACCAGCTTAAAATTATAGCAAAACAAAAATTGGTAGCTTGCCATCTGATCTATGGATCAGAGCTATTATAAAACAATAACAATAACAGAAAGCCCACTGCATCATTTCAAAGTCTCTTTTTCTAAGGAATATCATCTTAAAATGAATGATGCATACTGTTACAAGAATTGAAAATAATACTCTGTCCTGCCCTGGAAATATGCATGTGGATTTACTTCTCAATATTTTTAAAAAATGCTAAAAGAAAGTTATTGGTAAAGTTAACAAGATTTTAAGAATAATGAAATTGCACAGGAAAGTTTTATTTTACCTCAAAAAACAAAGAATTATTAATAAATTTAACTGCAAACAGAATTTTTAATTTTTTTAAAAAAGAACAAGAAGGTCCACCTACCAGTCATCACAGAATTTTTTGCATATGGGAACTGAAGAAATAGCAGCTGCATGTTTGGGATGAGCCCACTTAACGGCATATGGTGAACACCTATAAAAACACTCTATTTTCTTCATGTAAGCTTCACACCTGTTTGTATGAGGAAAACATTCACTGTTATTATATGAAAAATCTCCAACAAACCAACTGGAAAATTGTTTGGGAAGTTTAACTCAGTTGCTCCTTAGATTTATAATTCTGAAATTATACTGCAATCTTATTTAAGTAAATGCTAGATTTCATATCAAGGCTACATTAATACTTTACGGATCTCACTGATAACACTGGGTATCAACACTAGAGGCTGAATAGAGGATGTATTATTTATTTATTTATAAAATGTATAGGCCACCTGTCTTACCTTTTTTTTCCACAAAGTCTCTCTTGCTACCTTGTCTTAATTACAGGTAGTCCTCAACTTAACAACCACAACTGAGCCCAAAATTTCTGTTGTGAATTTTACAATCTTTCTTGCCAAAGTTGTTAAGTGAATCACTGCAGTTGTTAAGTTAGTAACATGGTTGTTAAGTGAATCTAGCTTCCCCATTGACTTTGCTTGTCAGAAGGTCACAAAGGGTGATCACATGGTCCTGGGACACTGAAACCGTCATAAAGATGAACCAGTTGCCAAGCGTCTGAATTTTGATCATGTGACCATAGGTATACTGCAGTGGTTGTAAGTGTGAAAAATGGTCATAAGCCACTTTTTTCAGTGCCATTGTAACTTTGAACGGTCACTAAATGAACTGTTGTAAGTCAAGGACTACCTTATTTGCCTTGCATTGAATTAATACTATGTCACTTCGGGAATCTTTGGATTTTGGACAATAAAAAATAATTATTAATATAACTATACTTTTAGAAGAAGAAGAATGAAAACAACATCTGGAGCATTACTTGAATATCATCAACATTAAGAAAATCAGCAATCGGTCAATTGCAAAAAGCAGTTTCACTTGGAACAGCTTACATTCTGCCTTACATCTGCCTGTCTCAGGTCCTTGGGAAAAAACTCAATAGTTAGATAAAAATGCCAAATCTAGTTTAAACATCTGGCTGACTGCACAACAAACCATGTAATGTATTAAATGTACACTCATGTCACCTAATTTCCAGGGACTCTTTCTTTATGTTTGTGCTGTTGTTACAAACAGCAACTATGGCAGAAATATGGCAACTAGCATATTCCTAGAAACATGTGGAAAAGAAAAAACAAAACAAAACCCACACTGAGCTAAGATTTCCACATCTGTTCCAGAAGGTAGTATCTATTTTAACAACCGGTGAATGAGCCAGTTCTTTGGTAATGTCTGCAGAGCAACAGGCGGCTGTGAGGAATTAAAAAACAAAGAATTGTTAATAAAGGCTTACTTTCTAACACAATTAAAACTGTGAAGTCTCTGACTTAGTTAATTACCCACAAAAGCCAAGCTTATTACAATTGGAGTTGAGTTGTGGGATACTTTTAGATGAGGAATTGTTTTATTCTCCTTCTTCCTCTTGAAAGTGCAACTTGTCGGCCTGTTTTGACTCCTCCTAAATTTAATGAAACTCTCAGAGAACTGACAGCTAATTAGTTGCTTTTCTTGCCAATATCTGAGCAAGGATAGCTATCAGCCAATCACATTCAACTATTTGCCACCACATAATTGATTACTTCCTTTGCCTGTTGATTTCATACCTAAATGTGCATATCTTTCATGTCTTAAAAAGCCTATCATCTATCCATCCACCCACCTATCCTCACCTTTCTTTATCTTACTAAAAATGTTACTGTCGGCCTCAGTTGCGTGGCAGAGGTGAGCCTATGGGCTCATCTGTAGTGATTGCTCTGTGTGTAGCAATTTTTTTAAATTTGGAATGTAGGAGAAAGTAAGAATTAAAAGAAAATAAAATAGATATGTGGGGAATCTGTAAAACAAAGAAAAAAAAAATTTAACAGAAGGTGGTCTGATTTTGTGACATGGGGAAATGAAAGCTTGAACGAAAGCATTGAAGTTATGTCAGACATTATGACTTGATAGCATCTATACTGTTGTGCGAACTTTGGAAAGTAGAAATTCCTAAGGTGGTGATAGTTGCATATTAAGTTCCAGTGAACTATGGAAAAAAAAACCAACTAGAGATGAGTTTCAACAAAACATTGTGGACCATTTGTTATTCTATTAGGGATGGGTGGATGGGTGGGAAAAGACTAAACTGTACAGAAAAACAATTGGTCTCATTTGGAGATCCATGAATGTATGAAAATAGTGACTGGTTAATATCTGCTTGGTAAAACGTCTACTTTGAATACATGTTTTAACACAAGTCCATTCATAGTTACATATAGAAAAATAAGAAAAAACAATGACTGGTTTAATTGTTTATGATGAAAGATTGAAACAATTAATGAAGGAAATTAGAGTAATGAAGCGTTCTGAAAGTGGGGATTGATTATGTGCCAACAGGATGTTGTTGACTCCCAGCTACCGCATAGATTTTTCTTGGCAGACTATTGTTTAGCAGCATCAAGAATGAGCTCTGGAAAAAAATATACATGGAAGAAAAAAAAGAGGCAGTTGTGAAAGCAGCTGTTACAGGAAGAGAAAGTATGAATCCTGGATTAAAACTAGTAGATTATAGATTACTCTCTTCCCAGAATAAATGATAAGTGGACATAAGCAATAAAGATATGGAAGCTGCTTAAAATAGGATGAAAAGAGTGATGTCACACAATGCCACAGAAAAATGCAATAATATTCTAGTACAGACATGTCAAACTCGCGAGTCACGTGACGTTGAGCAACGTATCGGGACTGTTTTGCTATTGCTGGCAATGGGGTGGGCGTGGTTTCCGCGTGATGTGTCTGGCCTGCGGGCCGGCAGTTTGACATCCCTGTTCTAGTAGGAAGTATGGAAAAGGATATTTGTGGCATGATGACCTGAAAGAGGCTATGGATGATGAAAAAAATCTGCATAGCTACTACAGAAATGAGAATAAGACAAAGAAAGCAATAGTTAAGATTTAAAAAGGCAGAGAAAATGCTGAATAATTTTCATGAGAGTAAAACAATGAAAGTGGATGAAGAGGGAACAGTAGAAAGAATGGAATTAGAAATAAGTATGTTACAGGTCCTATGTATTAAATAAGTACATTGAGTGGGACCAAGAAAAAGGGCCTTTCTACAATGACTCCCTTCCTCTCATTCCCCCAGAGATAAAATTGCCACCCACCTTGATACTTTTCTAGAGGGCCCCAAAAACATGGTTCTATCAGCAGGTTTGGGAACATCAGGTTGACATGGAGCTGATCAAGAGGTGAGTGTAATTGTGCCTGTTGCTGCCAATGGAGGTAGGTGAGTATGGGTTTTTCCATTGTGGAATTTTAATGTCAATCACCCATATGTGAATAGAATAGAATAGAATAGAATAGAATAGAATAGAATATCTTTATTGTCATTGTGTAACTCACAACAAAATTAAGTGCTGTCCACAGTGAACACTACACACAAGTAAAAACCACAAATAAGAACATACATTATGTACACATATCCTTCATATTCTATTCACCATTGCACTGCTCCTAATATTGCACTTCAATGTTGTACTATACAATGGTATTTAATATGGTTACAGTTCTGGGATAAAAACTATTTTTCAGCCTATTTGTCTTTGTTTTTATTATCCTGTACCGTCTGCCAGATAGTAATAATTCAAAAGAAAAGAATGTCTGGGATGAGGTGAGTCTTTAAGAATATTTTGAGCTTTCCTAAGACAACGGGAATTGTACAGTTCGTCCGGGGGAGGGGAGAGAGGGCAGCCAATAATCCTGTGGGCAATGGTAATGACCCTCTGGAACACTTTCCTATCTGCTACTGTGCAGCAAGCAAACCACACACAAATGCAATAAGTTAGAATGCTCTCTATGGAGCAGTGGTAGAAGGTCACCAGCAGTTTTTCATTCAGTTGTTGTTTCCTGAGAAGTCTCAAGAAATATAATCTCTGCTGATCCTTCTTAACCAATGCTTTAAAATGAGCACTCCAGGTTAGGTCCTCCTTTATGTTAACACCCAGAAACCTAAAGCTGGCCACCCTCTCCACACAGTGTCCGCTGATGATCAGGGTCTGAATGTCTGATCTATTCCTCCTGTAATCTACCGTAAGCTCCTTGGTCTTAGTTGTGTTGAGAACCAAATTATTGTCTCTGCACTACAAGAGCAACTGCTCCACCTCATCCTGGTAGGCAGACTCATCCCGCTTGGAGATAGCCCCACCACTGTGGTATCACCTGCAAATTTAACAATAATATTGCTGGGATGAGTGGGGGTGCAGTCATAAGTGTAGAGGATGTAAAGTAGGGGGCACAACGCACAGCCCTGTGGGAAGCCAGTATTAAGAATAAGGGCTGAAGAGATATAGTTGCCTAATCTAACCCTCTGAGAGCGGCCAGACAGGAAGTTCATAATTCAAAGGCAGATTGAATGTGAAAGTCCGAGATTGACAAGTTTAGACACCAGTGTGTATGGAAGAATTGTGTTAAATGCAGAGCTAAAATCCACAACCCCCCACTGCTCCAGATGAGTCATATAAATGTGTTAAATCAATCAATCAATAAGTAAATAAATAGATAAGAGAACAGCTTTGTACAGTGTTTTGGGAAATGGGTGAAAAAAAATTAAGATGTACAAATGCTGTAGAAAGGTAGCGGGTAGGATCTGGTCTGTTTCCTCCTACCCTTTTGGGTCAATGGGTGTTTGGCCTTTTTTCTCCAGTTGGCACTGGAATGCACCAACTCCCTGTTTACATATATACCTGAACTGAGCAGCACTGGCTCCCACCTCACTAGCTTTTAGTCAGTGAATTACTTATATAAAAGAAGTATGTTGAAGTGATTTGATTCTAATCTATAGAGTGGATGAATTAAGGGCTAACTGCAAAACTGGTATATGAAGTAGGTGTGAATGGGCTGAAATAAAATGAAGACTACAAGTCGTGGCTGGAGGGAGTTCATGAGATACTCAGAAAAGTGATGTGAGAAGTTTAAAAGAGCAAAATGCAACCTGTGAAGTGATGTATAGATATGTATGGAAGAACAATGATTTACAAGGATACAAAGTAAGAAGAGATGTAGTGAACGATTTGGTGTAAACTTTATCATTTTTTTTCTACTTCTACTTCGCCTTGAATTTCTTGCTTATTCATTTTTATTCTTTTCTGTGCTTTTTATTTTTAATCCTTATAATCCCTGTACTTTGTTATTATTTCAGCGCAGAAGTAATCAATTAACCCCTTGTGTGCATGCGGGTAGGTATATACACACAACACACACACAAACACACGCAGGTAACTGCATCATGACATTTAGCTCACATTAGTTGTGTGAACAAATGATAAAATACGAAGTAATTCTTCAAGACCTCCTGTTAACAAAGGCATCCACACACAGCCTGTTGGTCACATACAGTCTAATTTTTAACACAATTTTGCAATACTTACATTTGGCATATATGGTACATTCCTTCAAGTATCTCTCTCTGGTAGGCCTTGGCTTGTGACCAGCCCCTCTCAAACATGTTTGTATATTTCCAGTGCTAGGCATTAAGACAGCAAGGAACAGGAACACTGAAAATCGCAACATCTTGTTACTGCTACCGTTACTGCTATTCTTCTGAAGGATCCTGTATGGAAGATGACATTTCAATCATACGGGTGGGTTTATGAAACATAGGGACAGCCTTCATGTGAAATGTCAGAAAATATTGCAACTAAAATGTAGTAAGTGGAACATGGTTTTCCTTCTTATGTATCCGCCTTAAACAATTAAACTGGAAATTTATTTATTTATTTATTCAATTTAACATTTTTGTTCAAATAAATGTGTAGGGAATTTTGCCTTTAAAGCAAATATAGCTCAAAAAGCAACCAATTATTTTCCTGCCTCACCCCTTTTCTCCTCTAAGCCTCTTGCCTGCAGAAGAGTTCGAGAAATTAGAAAACTTCCAGTAAGTTTATAAAATGTGATATGATAAAAATATGATCCCTTTAGATTTGGATTTTTTTTCCTCATGGTGAATACAATTATTGTTGCTTTTGAACTGAGAAGATCAGCATACCTTGTGCAATTGTTTCAATTCAAGAACTTTATTTGTGGTTTCCATGTCTCAACTTTCTATGAAGAGGACAGTGTGGACAAAGTCTCCCCATAACAGGCATGCAACATGTATATACACCGTATTTTTATCTCCTATCCCATCCCAATATGCATCCTATCTCTCAGGCCATAAGATGTAATATAAACAAATATTAGTAACTGGGGTTGAAGCAGCTTTTGCCATTGTGGGAGTGGCAAATTAATTAATGAGAACAAACTATGTACTGTACTACATTAGTATTCTGATGTCACAAATGGCAAGTTATGCTCCAGCACAAAATATCCAACTTGAAAAAGTTTCGTGTTCACCACTTCGTTTACCATGTAATCTCTGGAGTTTACCCTGTTGGCTTTCTATATTTATCTTCTGATTAGCAGAATATGTATGTTGCTTTCCATTACGAATCCCACCAAATGACATAGAGAAGTCACAGACACTTGACTTCTTAATATCTCTTGAGGAATCGATGTTTCCTTTTTGGGTTCCAAACTTCCTGGCCAGTTAATGTTGTTTCACAATATACAACATAGAACAATGGGGTTAGAAGGGACCTCAGAGGTCTTCTAGTCCAACCCCCTGCTCGAGCAGGAGACCCTATACCAGGGTGCCGTCGGCCAAGCAATGTCGGCTGGCGACCCCCAGGGGGAGGGCCTTCTCTGTGGGTGCCCCCACCCTCTGGAACGAACTACCCCCCGAGATCCGGACGATTCCGGATCTCTTAACCTTCCGCCGCGCCCTCAAGACATGGCTTTTTCAACAAGCGGGCCTGACCTAGGGTGAGTTTTAAATAGGGACAATT